TGAGAGGTCCAAAAGTACAAGGACAGAGGAGTAGCCCCTGTCCCGGGCCCTCCAGAGATCATTAACCAACGTGACCAATGCCGTTTCCGTGCTGTGTCCCGGCCTGAAGCCCGACTGGTATGGGTCTAGATAGACGGCTTCATCCAAGTGTCGAGGGAACTGCTGCGCAACCACACTCTCAACAACCTTCGCCGCAAATGTTAGCAGTGTTCCAACATCTAAGGCAGAGGTCCCCAACCTTTTGGGCACCAGGGACCGGTTCTGTGGAGAGGGGTTTTTCCGCGGATCGGAGGGTGCGTGGTTTTGTGTGCTGCCTGCATCCCACGGATGAGATTTTGCTTGTTTGTGTGGACCAGTTGCTGGTATGCCGCGGCCCGATACTGGTCCACGGACCGGGGGTTGGGGACCCCGATCTAAGGGCCTGCCACAAAGAAGAGGGAGTCACCCTATTCTCCAAAGCACCTGAAGGCAGAACAAGAAGCAACGGATGGAAACTAATCAAGGAGAGAAGCAACCTAGAAATAAGGAGAATTTTTTTGACAGTTAGAAGAATTAACCAGTGTAATGGCTTGCCTTCAGAAGCCGTGGATGCTCCATCAGTGGAGGTTTTTTTAAGAAGAGACTGGACAGCCACCTGTCTGAAATGGTTTAGTTGACAGAAAAGAACTTTATGGTGTTTTTGTCAATTACAGCTTGCAGGGAAATGAGAAATAGAAGACTAGTAGAACTTAACATCTACTAGTTACCGTAATTGACCATTTCCAAAAGTTGAACTATTGCCTCCAATTGCCAGTTAGGGAATTTGATCAGATAAGACCATTGTCAGTAAAGGATCCCTTACGCTTGTAGATCAAAGCAAAAGGGCCCCAAGATGGCTGCTACAGCCATCTTATTTCACAACTTAACAATTTTTTTACTTAGCAACATAAATTTTGGGCTCAATTGTAATTGTAAGTTGAGGACTACCTGTATAAATAAAGGCCCAGTGCATGTTAATAATAATAATAATAATAATAATAATAATAATAATAATAATAATAATAATAATAATAATAATAATAATAATAATAATAATAATAATAATAATAATAATGATGATAATGATAATGATAATGATAATAATAATAAAAAAAAAGTTGGAAGGGACCTTGGAGGTCATCTGGTCCAACCAACTGCTCAGGCAGGAAACCCTACACCATTTCAGACAAATGACTGTCCAGTCTCTTCTTAAAAACTTCCAGTGTTGGCGCATTCACCACTTCTGGAGTCAGGTTGTTCCACTGGTTAATTGTTCTAACTGTCAGGAAGTTTCTCCTTAGTTCTAGGTTGCTTCTCTCCTTGATTAGTTTCCATCCGTTGCTTCTCGTCCTGCCCTCAGGCGCTTTGGAGAATAGCTTGACTCCCTCTTCTTTGTGGCAGCCCCTGAGATATTGGAACACGGCTATCATGTCCCCCCTCGTCCTTCTCTTCATTAGACAAGACATACCGAATTCCAGCAACCGTTCCTTATCAGTGCAGTTGTTAAAATGGATTGTGCATTTGATAAGTGAATCTGGCTTCTCCCACTGACTTTGCTTGTCAGATGCCAGCTGGGAAGGCCACACATGGTAACCACATGACCCCAGGACTCCCTGCAGCCATGGCAAATACATCGCTGGTTGCCAAGCATCTGAATTTTGATCACCTGACTATGGGGATGCTGCAAAGGGCTGGTCCTAGGTCATTTTTCTCAGTGCTGTTGTAACTGTGAACAGTCACTAAACAAACATCTGTAAGCCGAGGACCACCTGTATAATGTTTGTTTCGGTTTCCCTCTTCAAAATCACTATTGTGCCTTATCATCACTTCCCATGCAAATGTTTAAATTTTGTCTTTCCAACATTCCCTTGCTGAGTTTTATCACAAATCATTCCATCTATTTTCCCTTTAAATTTATTCACTCTTCCCTTGGAGAGAGAGTTTTTCATTCCTCTTCATCCACTTCTAAAACAACTTTTTATTTCCGATTCTCTGCATTTTTTTCTATTTCTTCCTCTGAACCATCCTTTGTTCTCTTTAACTTTATTTTTTCACTCTGTATACATGTATCACCTGTACCTCTTGTAAGGAGGTATTATTATTATTGTTATGGTCTTTGGCCAGTGTAGGTACATATATGCATATTCAAAAACTAAAACACAGATCACTGAGACTAAAAATTTATTAAAAACTTAGCTTTCGTCAGCGTCTGCTAACATCGTCAGAGTTCTAGTTTTAGCAGACGCTGACGAAAGCTAAGTTTTAAATAAATTTTTAGTTTCAGTGATCTGTGTTTTAGTTTTTGACTATGAATATACCTGAGACTCGTATCTTCAAAACCATTTTAGATATATGCATATACACGTAAAATTCTACATCGGTTATAAAAATAGTAAAGAAGGAGGAATTAAAATATTTAAAAAGAAAAAGGTGTGAGGGGGTCTTCCAGGTTTATTAGATACATTGCATAAATCTACAAGGATTGTTCTGTTTCTTTTATAGCATGTTTGCCTTCTATGATGTTAATGAGACGGTGAGGGAAATGACATCTCAGCCGGTGAGTAAGGACAAATTAACAATGTGAGGTGAAAAAAACGTGGCAGGAAGAATGTGTTTCGGTTTATTGTGGTGGTTCCAAAACTTTTTGCCATCACACCTCCCTTCAGTGCCATGCATCCCCAAATTGTTCCCTCATTATCCAAAACCACTTATCAGAAAGACCTTTTTACAAATGTTTCAACAATTAGAAACAAAGCCTCTATAATGGTTTAAAGCAGTGGTTCTCAACCTTTTTAATGCTGCGACCCCAACCGGTCGTAAGTCGAGGACTAAACCGGTCGTAAGTCGAGGACTAAACCGGTCGTAAGTCGAGGACTAAATCGGTCGTAAGTCAAGAACTACCCAACCGGTCGTAAGTTGAGGACTTTCCCTGCCCGGGAGCGCTGCGCATGCGTGGTTCCGCCCCCTGCGCCGGCCGAGGCGTAGCTGGCAAGCGGCAGAGACGGAGCAGGCCGACCACCAGCTGGCCCAGCCCAAGGGAGGTAAGGCACCCGCCGGAAAAGGGGAAAAAATGGCGGACAAAAAAAATGGTGGACAGCCTTGCTTGGTGACCCCCGTGAAATGGTCGATCGACCCCCAAATGGGGTCCCGACCCACAGGTTGAGAACCACTGGTTTAAAGGCTACCAGTCCCATGAAACATTAAAGTCACAGTAAAAGACTAAAAGTAACTCAAAAAAATCAATGTAAAGAGATGTGTCTTAGTTCTTTCTAAAAACCAAAAACATGGGGCTATTCTTAATTTTGAAGGGCCACTCTGCATAATTTGGGTATGATATAGTCCAGTGATGGCGAACCTTTTAGAGACCAAGTGCCCAAAAACTGGCCCCGCACCCGCTCCACCCCCTGCCCTGCCCCGCTCTGCCCTCCCATCCCCCACCCTGCCTGCCCACAGGGCCAGTCACCACCTCTAGGGCCCGCCGCAGATCACCCAAGCAGCCCAGCAGTGCTATGGCGGTCATTCCCTGTGCCGGCACCCTGCAGCATCAGTTGTGCACAATGGGGTGTGAGGACAGAGTCTTGTCTACACTGCCTGGCTGCCATGTCCTTGGCTGCGCTGCTCCGCGTGGGCCATGCTCAGGGGCGACTCTCCTTCAGGGGGGCTGCAGGTGAGGAGGGGGTCACAGGGAGAGGCAAGGCTGGGGCAACAGCACGTGTGCCCACAGAGAGGGCTCCGAGTGCCGCTTCTGTCACCCATGCCATAGGTTCGCCATCACTGCTCTACCCCATCAGCCACCCCAACACAGAACGCTTCCGTCAAGGCCCAGACCAAACAGCAGAGGCAGGTTTTAAGGCGCTTCTGGAAGACCAGGAGTGTGGGGACTGACCTCACCTCCAGGGGGAGAATATTCCAGAGGGTTGGAGCCACAGCAGAAAAGACTCTTCTCCTGGACCCCACCAGCTGCCTGGCTGCCATGTCCTTGGCTGCGCTACTCCGAGTGGGCCATGCTCAGGGGTGACTCTCCTTCAGGGGGGCTGCTGGAGAGGAGGGGGTCGCAGGGGGAGGCGAGGCTGGGGCAACGGCAGGTGTGCCCACAGAGAGGGCTCCGAGTGCCGCCTCTGGCACCCGTGCCAAAGGTTCGCCACCACTGATATAGTCTTTCACGCCCGTGTCAAAAACAAGCTCCTGAGAGGAGGGATTCCATCCATGTGGGCTGTCCTGCAGATCGTAAAAGTTCTCACGCACTTAGCCTTTTAAACAGGTACCCAACAAAACCAGCTTATTCTAAGTAACATGTCTAGCTAGATTCTCAATCATCCAGGTCATGTTTGCCCCAAAGGTGCTTTTTCAAAAAGGCAACTGGACTTTCTTGGTTTTTTTTTTTTCTTCAAATTTTTTTTGCTTCTCATTCAAGAACTTTCTCGTAAGCAAAACATTTTCAAAGAAAAAAACAACAACCCCAAGAAAGTTCAGTGGCCTTTTGGAAAAAGCACTTTTGGGGATGTCTAAGTAACATCTCTGCCTTGAAAACTCACAGACATCGCAAGCCTTTTTCCAATTAGTCTATATAAATGGATGCACCAATAGAGATTGACCCATCACGTACCGTCAAAAATGAATCAGCAAGGATGAATGGAGAATCAGGTCACGGTGAATCTTCTCATCCCTCTGCTGTTGATTGAGATCAGACTTGAAAGTTATGAATATTAAAAGTATAGGTAGTCCTCGACTTATGACCACAACTGAGCCCAAAATTTCTGTTGTTAAGTGAGACATTTGTTAAGTGAGTTTTGCCCCATTTTATGGCTTTTCTTGCCACCTTGGTTCTTTTATGACTCATGGACTTCAACTCCCAGAATTCCTGAGCCAGCTTGGCTGGCTCAGGAATTCTGGGAGTTGAAGTCCACGAGTCATAACAGCCAAGGTTGCCTGCCCCTGCTCTGGGTGATCTACAACAAAACTAAAGAAGTTTATGTTTGCTTATATTTCAGAGTTAAATAAATTGGCTATGTCAGTTTATATAGAGGCCTTACCCATAATGTTGTCCTCACAACAATTCTGTGAGATTGGCTGGGTTGAGAACCGAACATTGTCCCAAGATCACCCATCGTGTTCTGTAATGAAGGGAAACTCAGACTTTAAATATCTCTGAGGCCAGTCCTATGCCTTAACTACTTACTACACCAACCTCACCATGTTAGTTCATCTCAGATTTACATGGCCTAGGAGTCTTCTGTTTTTAAAGACTTGAAAGAAACTAGAAGCATTTGGTACATGTAGGAAACAAAACAAAACAAAAATAATCCACTAGATGTGGATTGTTAAATTTTGTGATTTGTGACTCTTTGTGAGTTGATAACAAGTATTATGCAGATAGTCCTCGACTTACAACCACAACTGAGGCCATTTTTTTTTGTTGCTGAGTGAAACATTTGTTAAGTGAGTTTTGCCCCCATTTTACAATCTTTTTTTTGTCACGGTTGTTAAGTGAATCTCTCCAGTTATTTAGTGACACAGTGGTTTAAGTGAATCTGGCTTCCCCATTGATTTGGCTTGTCAGGAGGTTGCAAAAGGTGATCACATGACCCCTGGACACTGCATAAATATGAGTCAGTTGCCAAGCATCTGAATTTTGAACATGTGACCAGGGGGATGCTACAACAGTCGTAAGTGTAAAAAACGGTCATAAGTCACTTTTTTTCAGTGCCGTTGTAATTTCAAATGGTCACTAAAGGAATTGTTGTAAGTTGAGGATTACATTTAAGCTAAGAAAAGCTCCTGAAGAATAAAGTCAGATATACTCTGACTTTATTCTCCAGGAGCTTTTCTTAGCTTAAATGCCAGGGTTTTGCTAATTAAAATAGGGGAAAGCAGGATTCATTGGATGGTGGATGCATTGGGAGCACAGGCACAGACATCTCCAGCAGGTCTACTACCAAACGAAAGATGCGCCTCCAGAAGTAGTTGCAATCCAGATTTAAAGAAGACTAAAAGCAGTAGAGCCAGGAAGCGAAGCTGAGGAAAATAACAAAGGGTGAACTTGCAGCAATGGGCTGAATTGTCCATTTGTTGGATGAAGTAATTGGTTGTCTGTCCTGATTAGAGCAGACATGTCAAACACAAGGCCCGGGGGCTGGATGCGGCCCGCGAAGTGGTTTCATGTGGCCCGCGAAGCCATCCTGGAAACAGTGAGGGAACGGCCCCCGCTGCCTTGGCCCTGGCCCAGTCCAGCCGGGAGCCAATGTACAATTTTGTGGTGGCCATCTTGGCACTTGCCCCGGTGGACCATGCCTTGGCACTTGCCCCGGTCCCACCCCCTTCTGCCAGAGACCCTCAGATCTGTCCCACTCCTGCCCAGGCCCCCCACAGGCACCCTTGATGCGAATGATGCAGAACTGACCACGCCCATCCAGTAGCCACACCCACTCCATCCACGCCCACCCGGCCGCCCCCAGGGCAACCGCAATGCTAATGCGGCCCTCAGTGAAATTGAGTTTGACACC